GAGGAGCAAAACGACAGGTGGGGACCAGAAATGCCTCTGGGACGTGTCTTTAAGCTGAACTTCCTCATGGAGGAGCGCACCCACCCTCCTTCCCACACACCCTGCCCATGACTCCTGCAGACTCTCCAGTGAAAGTGAAACTTAACTGTCTGCTGAGCTCTCAATATTAGTTCTCACTCAGTGGCTACGTTCACACTGCAGGTCTTAATGCTCAGTTCCGATTTTTTGAAAACATCCGATCTTTTTGTGTGAACACATGGAGCTACAGATTTAAACAGCGAGACTTGAGGTTAGTGTCTTATCGATCCTTCAGCCCCTCCTCCTGATGAAAAAGTCAGATGAATGTGACATGAGCGTTCACACTGCAGTCACTTTGAAAACATCAGATATATATCCGATTTAAAACCACATACTGAAACGGCCTGGGTCAGATTAGAAAAAATCTGATTTGTTGCGTTCAGACTGTCATAAAAAAATCGGATATGAGTCAGATGGGTCCAAAAAATCGGATTTGGGTCGGATTTGCCTGCAGTGTGAATGTAGCCATAGATACTTTATTATGGTAAAGTATTTAAATGTATGCCTGAGAAACACAATAATATTGGCCCTTTAAACTTCAAAGAAATGCTGTCATGTTCCCCTTTAGTAACCCAGAATTGAGCGGATTTGGTTAAACATGGTCAAGATGGTTTTACTGGAAAAAACTGTATAACTGACATCATAGAAGTCCCAATAAAATAAAAACTCATTCAAAATGTTAAAACTCAGGCTGCAATTAAATATTACTAAAATTATTCAGTAATAAAAGTATTTTCTTTTTTGTAAATCCTTCACATCTAATAGTTTGTTAAAACTAATGCTTTTAAAACAATTAATACATGGACTACAAATCATCACTTGGTTTTCTGATTATTTTTTTGTAAACATTTTTATGTTTACACTTGTGAAAAATGGTGTAAATTTGATGAAAGTGAACATGTTGAAATGTGACTGTTCTGCAATGAATACAATATAAGATCAAACAGATAACAGTGTTTGCAGCACAAGCACACTGCTGGTCATGTAAGAAAATACTGGACTCTACACACAAGCTGAAAGGTCAAGCTGAAGAAGATGATATATATCTAAAAATATATATAGCAAAGTTAGTCCTTTGCACAGTATAAAAAGCTGAAACTTGCCATCTTCTATTTACCAGACAGATTTCTGGATACAATCAGTGATTTGACACAGAATGGAGTCATACATATGTTGGATCCTTTCCTGCAGCAGCTGTACAGTATGACCACCAAACCCCCAATATGACTCTTTTATCAAACTCCAGCAAATCCTCTGTGATTCTGTCTAATGTGTCTATGAAGCACCATCTGTATCTGCTGACCATCACTCATTGTTTTAACTGATTGTTGGACCCTCCAGCAACTACCTGATAACACTAGCACCCTGCTTTTGATATCACCACACATCCGCTGGTGCTTTTCTATATGTGATAGGGTTTTTTTGTAAATCAAATCATTTACATCCCCATTGCTCATCAACATGAGTAAATTTAGTGCAAATAGATCATTCCTTCTGAGTCCTTAACTTTTTTTGTGTGTATTTATGCAGTGAAGTCTGGTAAATGATATTTAGCCATGTTTTCTAAACAAGTTTTCATATTGAAAGGACATTATTTTACAGCCTTCAGATAGTGTTTTAATTTTTAAAGGGTTTTTGTGTGAAGTGTTGGCTTGGATGGCGGTGACTTCTCAATTTAAAGGTAGAGGAGCGATATATTGTGGTAAGACAGAGCAGATTTATCACTGACAGGGTTTAGTTTTGATGACAGGGTCTACAGATAGACTGTATTATCACAGAGAGAAAAGTCCTGTAATTATGTCTCCTGCATCTTGTGGGAGACTTCTGTAGTCTTAAAAGCTAAACTTAACTCATGTATTTTGTCCTGTTTTAAAATAAGTTTTTGAAACTTTCATCTCAAAATAGACCTTTTTGTTAGTGGCAATAAAAAAAGAAAAAGTTGAGTGAAAAAAGAAAGCTTGTCTGACTTAAAGAAAAAGTTAAAAATCACAAAAAATGTCTACTTAATGCAGGAGGGCTTTCCCAGCGGCTAGACTGGGGTTTCTCGGGGGAACTATGAAAGGTCAGTGCGAAAACAAATGCCGAACAACCACGTGACGGCGCGTCGACCGGTCGACAGCCGAGCGACCATACTGCCAGTTTAGCCGTAGGTGTAGCACCATTTTGCTTTAGCTAGTAGCAGACACGACATGACGGATCTTGGACAGACACGATATTGGACAGTATGCGGGCCCACATCACGGATTCGGTGAAAGCAGCCATCAAGAAAACAACTCAATTCCTGCTGTTATTCCTGGAGGTACAACAAAGTTTTTGCAACCCCTGGACATCAGTGTGAATCGTGCATTTAAAGCAGTCCTCAGGGCTGAATGGGAGGCTTGGATGACTGACGGGGATAAAGCATTCACAAAAACTGGCCGAATGTGAAGAGCGTCATTTCCTGATGTCTGCCAGTGGATCCTAACAGTGTGGAGCAGAGTGAATGAGTCCACCATCACCAGTGGGTTCTGAAAGGCTGGACTGCTACGTGAAGAGGACACCACAGCTTCAGAACCAGCATTACCCCGTGAGTACAGCGACACAGAAAGCAACAATGAACAGATCCCGCTGTGTGACGCAGCTTTTCTCAGCTTGTTTAACTCCGACACTGAAGAGGAGGACTTCGATGGTTTCAGTGCGCTGGAGGAAGATGAATGAGACGTTTTGTTGGACCAGAAACTGTTAAAGAAAACTACCAAAATAAGATCAGTTAAATGAACCGTATTCCTCCGAACTTTAATTCCTATCAGTTTGCTTTTTATGTTTTGATGTTGAATTCACTTTTTTGACGACAATTTTGGGTGTACTGTTTTTTTAATGTTGGGGGTGCGGCTTATAGTCCGAAAAATACGGTATATTAACGACAAGTTTTATACTTGCGTCATTTTGTGATGTCATAAGCCGTACAACAACCCACCGGAACCTGCGTTCAGCCCCTTACCTAGCAACCCCCGGGTGAAGCTCTACCTCCTCAGTATAAAAAGCCGTCACGGTTGTTGTTGTGCAATGCGCAGCTCATTTCACAACAAGTCTCCAATAGTGCAATGGGTAGTGGTGAACCAGAGAGTAGAAGAGCAGAAGACCAGGGTTCGAGACCGGCATGGACAGTGTTTAATTATTTATTTATTTTTGTTCGTTATGAACACATTTTCTCATGTACCTCTATTGTTTAGCTTATTAAAGCCTTGTTAAAGCCTATTTGTTTGAGTTTCTGAGGTATTTTTACCGCTGCTGCTCCCTGCTCTGGTAACAGCATGCAGAGTGAGCGCAGAGCAAGAGGAGGGAGAGAGAAAAAAAAAAAAGAAGCTGCGACTGACTCTGCCTCTGGGTCTCACAGGGTCTCATATGGTTGTACAACGGAGCTTCTGCTATTAGCCATGCTAACGTAAACGCTGGCTTTGGAGGACGGAGTTAATGTCAACAGATTTTTGGAGGGCGTTACCAACAGAGCTCATTAACATAAACAGCTCTTCTGAACAGAAGTCAGAGCAGCAGAACTAGAAAATGGGAAATTTTATTATCTGAGAATTATTTTGTGCATTAAATTGAATGAACATGGTCTGGATAGCCCACAGACATACCATAAACATTTCTACGACCCATAATTGGTCTACTTTAAGACTTACCGTTGCCATTCCACAGCTGTATTTGAGTTCATATATTGTCATTATATTGTCAAATTGTCACCTGGTGGATAAGTGACACATATATGAACAAAATGTGACAGCTTTCACCCTCAGCTGTAACATTAACGATGATCAATAACGTTTGTAGACCTCAGTTAGTGCTTCTGTGCTGAGCCACTAATGAATTTTAAAGTTATCACAAGCCCTAAAGCACTACTCAGGAAATTAGTTTCCCTATTAGTGCTTTAGAGGAACCGTGGCCACCACTGGTTGGTGTTGAAGTAGCTGAAACTGATCCCCTACTTCTGCTCTGAGTGCTAACTGCTCGCTCAAGATTTTTGCCATTACCTTTCAGAGTCAACTGTTGGCTGAACATCTATAACAGATTAACTTTTGGATTTAACCCAATTTAAGATGGCTTACAGCCAACTAACCTTAGAACACACAGAACAGGTTTTAACTCAGTTTAATGATTATCAAGCTACAATTTAGTGTGGCAGTAGCTGAGAGTTATTCACAACCAAGCGCTAACAAATCTAGCGAGGTTATGCAAAAGATACTGTATCACAAGATTGCGTGTGATGGTATTTTTCAAACAATAGCTACCAC